GTTCTGGTCCTGTAAGGGGATAAGGAAAAGTCCGATATGCCCCGCCCATGCTATGCCCATGAGGGGAGCTCGGCCTATGTCGACTGATGCCGACCCACTAACGTGTGTCAGCTGGTGCTGACTCGGATGAGCTTAGTCCTTACCCGCCGGGGTGTCCATCCACAGCAGTAACCTCCAGGCGACAATTGCAACTTCTAGCGCCTCGGATGAGAGGCCGACACGTTACTACTGTACTAGCCTGTAAGGTGCATGCATTCACCTCTTAGCCACAATTGCTCCTAGGTCCACTTCGACCCAGAGTGGAACACCTGTCAGGTTTCCATCCATGGGATGAATAGAAATAAGGGTAGAGGGAACTCTGTAGCCTTGGCTGAAATCCAAGAGACAGTGTCTTAATCAAAAACGCTGTCGGGGACGGCAACGGGAAACCACCCTGACCAATCTTTCCTTCGGTGACTCAGACAAACGCACTTAGCCCAGCGGAAAATACTAGGCATGTTAGTGAAGTAACAGATAATAGAGGGTAATTGAAGAAATGGATGGCAAAAATGACTAAAGTTAAATACACACACACATATATATATAATTATATATATATATATATACATATTCACACATGTACATATTTATGAATGTATATATGTATATATATACACATATATGTATATATGTGTATATATACATATATACACATATATACATATATGTGTATATATTGTATATACATGTGTGTGTGTATGCGTGTGAGAGTGTGTATGTATGTATGAATATATATATATATATGTGTATGTGTGTGTGGATGCATATATGTTTATATATACATAAATATGTGTGTATGTGTATATATATATATATATATATATATATATATATATATATATATATATATATATATAGTGTATATATAAATATATATGTATATACATGTACATGTTTATGTATGCATATATATATATATATATATATATATATATATATATATATATATATATATATATATATATATATATATATTAATATGTCTATAAATATGTATGTATACATTTGCGTTTTATCTATGTGTGTCTGTTTATATGTGTATATATATACATATGTGTATGTATAAAAAACATACATTTGTATGTTTGTTTATGTGTCTATGTATATATGTATGGGTATCTATGTATATATGTATGGGTATCTATGTATATATGTATATATAGACATATATCTACAACACATAGTATATATATTATATATACATATACTTATTTGCATATATATACATACATATGCATATATGCCTAGACACATACATATAGACACACAAATATATACATATATGTATATATTTGCCCATGCGTGTGTGTGTGTGCTTATGTGTGTTTACGAGTGTGTATATGGTTTGTTTGTGTTTATTTACTTGTATACACACGCGCGCGCGCGTGTGTGCGTAGGATTGTAGGAATACAGGCCTAAAGTAACTTACTCTTTACTTTCCATAGAATGCACTTCTCCCCACTGCTACTGACCAGCGCTGTGGTCTTGATCAGCGCTGTGGTCTCATTTCAAATAAGCACAACACAAGGAGAAAGAGGACTTCCTGGACAAGGGCAGAATGGATCTTCTGTACCACGTAAGAAAGAAAAATGAATGGCAATTATGTAAGAATATATATATACACATACGCACACGCACATATACACAGAAATATACATTTATGTGTATTTAAATCTAGATAAATATCAATTTCAAACACTATAACCCATAAATGGATTATTTTCAGGATCTCCAGAATCAACCAAGGAAGACTCAATTCCCAAATGCACCGATGAAATCAGCCGAGACACTTCATTCGACCGGGCCTTTCTCTGTCCCCGGGCTGATTCTCTCAATAAATTATTCGAACAATTGAGAGGAGAGGTGAGAGGTGTTTTGGTATATTGTTATTTTCCTAATGATTTTAATCTAATCTAAAATGTGTGATAAAGTTGGAAATCAGTCAGAATGAACAGCATTATGTATTATGGTGTTTTAACTTTACTATTTATTTTTTGTGTGCGTTTTTTTATATAGTCAAAGTTTACAATTATACTCATAAAGGGAACGAGAAGGTAGAATGTAAAAACGAAAGCGAATACATAGTGTTTAAGGGTAGAGCGGTGACTTCTATATTTTTGCATTTGATTTTGTGAAGTGTTAATTTTATATCGACGATTATAACTGCACGATGGTTCTTAATCTTGAACGCGTGCCGGCAGAATCATAGAATGCGCGTCAAAATCACGGTGGAGAAGGTGGACGGAGAGCTGATACTGCGGCCTCCTCCCAGAATCATCATCATCTCGCTTTTTCTTCAGAACACGAACGTAACACAAATATCTGCTGAAACGGAAAACCAGGTATTTATGCGAGTTTTATATCTAATCAGTAGGATCTTTTACAACAGGTCTTGCTGTAGTTGATCAAAGTTGTTTTGAATGATACTCAGAATGGAGTTAAAGAGTCTGGAGTTCATAGAGAAAATATTATACTATAAGAAGTGAATGTATTAACAATATACTAGTATCCTATCATGCAATTCGATTTTGTGATACTGTTGCGAAACTGTCATAAAAGGTTTTGATCATATTAATCAATTCAGCGACTGACTTTCACATGCCGTGGCAGAGCGTCCTGTCCTCGCTGACGGTACTCATTCTCAGAGAAACGCCCGTGACTGAACAGGGTTAGTTCGATAATGCACAAACAACAAGCTTATGAATTTTGTTAAAAATATGTTTACTCTTTTCTTCTGCTTTAGTTTGTCTTTTTTCTATATTTACTCTTTCATTATTCATCAGTAACTAAGTGTCATTCTTACCAATTAGTTTGTCCCCAAAGAATAATGGAAATGAAATCTATAGGTAGATAGTGTGTGAACGTAAATGGTTCGGCTACTATCCGCAGTCCATCTTTCCAGCTCTGACGTCCCTGTTGCTGCATCTTCCTGCTCTCCAACACCTTGACATCTCCTCTTCTGGCCTTAGTTCCCTCCCTGAGAAAGTTTTCGACAAGAACCCGGTAAGCTTGCCATGTTTTCACAAAAATACATCCCTCCCAAGTGAAAAAAATGATGTCAATATTTTCATCGGTAAGGAAACCTCATGTATTGTGCCTCACCTGCTTTTCTTCTGATTTATACTTAATTTAATTGCATTTAGTTATCACGTCTGCTAATTTACTGGTTTAATTGCTATATCTTTCACTTTGTAAATTAGGAGTAGGTTTACAGACCAGGTATTATAGATATATGTATTGCTTGTGGTGCACTACTTTCCTTGGGGTCTGTTGTGGTGAATATTATCTGCTCTTTCACAGGAACTGCAATTCCTCGATTTATCGAATAATGCATTTGGGAAAATAGCACTACCTAGAAGTAAGTTGCTCTTTGAAGAAATGCCCATGGTAAAAAGCATTGTATTTGATTTTAAATGCGTGAATATATACAATACACACATATGTATGTGTGTATGCTTGTATGTGTATATATATGTATATATACATATACATGTGTACACATATATGTACATGTATATGTTTATATATGTATATATATACATATACATATATATAAATTTATGTGTGTGTGTGGGTGTGTCCGTATACTTGTGAATACATATACATGTATATACACATGTATATTTACATATGTAGATATATGGATACACATATATTTTGTGTGTGTTGATGTATGTAATTGTTTTTCTACTAGATATGTACTCATGTATATGCATATATATGTAAATATATGTATTGTATATGTTTATATACATATACATATGTATATGTATATATATATACATATACATATCCATATACATATGTGTATACATATGTACACATGCACACACGCGCGCGCTCACACACACACACACACACACACACACACACACACACACACACACACACACACACACACACACACACACATATATATATATACGTGTGTGTATGTATGTATGTATTTGTTGACAGAAATGAAATGAAGAATACCCAGAGCCATGTTCCCTCTCTCTAGCTAATATGGCAATATGTACTGTATATATTCATCCATCTGCATATGTTTGTGGTTGTATATGCTTTCATTTATATGCGTTTGTACCCATGCACACACAAACACCCATCTCCGTTTCCCCGCTTCCCAGATTTAATATTGAGGCTAATGCACCTCAACATCTCGAGCTGTCAGCTGGACAAGGTATCCGTGCTGACGGCGTGCATGGAGAGGCCGTGCTCCATGCCCTCCCCTCAGGGGCGCCTCAGAACTTTAGACGTGTCCAACAACTATCTGAAGTGGCTGCCAAGGAGGCTGGTGAAGTCCCTCAAAAATGATTCCTTTGTTAATATCAAAGGTAGGAATTAATTCACCTGATAGCATACGTATATATGAATATATATACACATACAAATACATGTGTATATATATGTATATATATATATCAACACACACACGCATACAGCTATATATATAAATATATATATACACATTTCTGTATATATACATGTACACCCATATTATATATATATATATATATATATATATATATATATATATATATATATATATATATATATATATATATATTTGTTTATATATATATACTAATATATACATACATACATACATACAAACGACCAATCAACATACAAACACCCACATATATAATGTGTGTATATATATATATATATATATATATATATATATATATATATATATATATATATATATATGCGTGTGCGTACATTTATGTATATATTGTTTGTTTATATGTATATGTATATATTTATGTATATTTATTTATACATATATACACATATATTCACTCTATTTTAGATATATGTGTGTATGTAAAACACATGCATATATATCTCTTTTATTATCATAGTCTATTTGCTGTTGTGCGTGACAAGAAAAATGACGAGCCATCTATTTCCCGGTCGTGCCCATGCATGTGTCTATAATCGACTCCCGCCCATAGTCATGCCAGTCCCGACTCCCGCCGCAGGGAACCGCTGGAACGAGACGTGTGACTGCTCGCTCTACTACCTGTGGCAGTACTCGAGGCAGGCGCTGTACATTGACGCCAGCGAGGAACTCGACTGCTTCAACGAGACCGTTCTCCGGAGCTGCAGCTGGGACGACTGCCCCGACGAGTGCGACTGCGACAGCGAAACGAAGACGGTGAACTGCACAGGGAAAGGTGACGCCTGCTTGCTCTCTCTCTCTCTCTGTTTCCTCGCTTTCTTCTGAGTTAGGTGCGAGGGAGGGAAGCGAACGACGCGGAAAAGGTTTTCGATGAAAGCAGTCTGAATCTCTCTCTCTCTGTCTCCCTCTTTCTCTCCCTCTTCCTCTCCCTCTCTCTTCCTCTCCCTCCCTCCCTCTCTTTTTCTCTCTCACTTTCCTTTCTCTATATGTGCATTTATATATATATATATATATATATATATATATATATATATATATATATATATATATATAGTTTATTTGTTCATCAGCCATTTATTCCACTGTAAGACTTGGGCTTCTCTAAATTCACTTACCTATATGTATGTATGCATATACGTGTATTTATATGTATACATACATATATACATGGTCTTATGTATTTATATGTGTGTATATGTAAATATATACATATATCATATATGTATACATATATGTATATACACACATGCATTTATATACATACATACGTATGCAAGTACATACATATATTTAAGTACCAGTGCATATACATATATATGTATATGCATACACATACACATACCCGCACGCATATGTACACCCATGCATTGAAGTGCATAGGCTTCCTTCCTCTTTTACAAATGAAGCTAAGATATATTCATCATTAGCGGATGGGAAGCTCACACCCAACTTCCGTAGCTCTCCATCCAGTTAACTGCGTCCTGTGTAAGTGAAGTTCAACAAGTCTTTCCCGATGTCGCTGCTTCCAAAATGCTTGACTAATGAAGATCAATTTCCCTCTTGTTTGTTTTTTAGCAGGTTCTCTTTACACTGAATGTTGTCAAAGACCCACTCGTTGCTGTTCCTCCCTCCTGTACAGCTGACTCTTAACAGCTGATTCTGAATGACCGAAGGAATTCAAAAACTTCCATTTCCTTGGCATCCTCGCTGGGAATCCATCATTCCGATGCATAAGTTGCAATGATAAATATTAAAGATCGCGGTATTTTTTTCAATTAATATGAGCATATCTTTCCATTCATCGGTGAAAGAAATCATAGCGTTTACAGCTGTACACTTGCATGAGATTAAAGGCTACAAGGAAAGAGAATAAAGTCAGACCAGTAACCCTGCGGTCCGTGAGCGTCCCTTAACCTTCCTTCATCCTCCTCCTCCTCCTCCTCCAGGCCTGGCGGAGCTGCCGATCGTCGTGCCCTCCGAGACCGAAATCTTCCTGGCGGACAACAACGTCATCACTAACATAGATAACGTGGCCTTTCCCACGTACTGCAACCTCAGGAGCCTCAGTGTCGAACGCAACCTCATGACTGAGCTTTGTGAGTGCTTCAGTTACGTGTGTGTGGATGACGGGTGTGGCTGGCGCTTTTATGTATATGTGGGTTACCCACATATGCATGTGTGTGGATGATAGCATGTGGGTGACACGTATGTGCGTGTGGATGGCGGCGCTGAATGAAACGTGTGTGGATGTGGATGAAGGCATATGTGTGTATAGATGAAGGATGTGTGTGTGTGTGTGGGAGGGGGGGGGGGGGTATGGATGACACGTATGTGCGTGGATGAAGACATTTAAGTAATTTTCACCAATCTATATTCTTGTACAGTGCTCTCAAGAAGAGGGAAATGCGTTTGTGATACAGACTTCTACATTAAGGATAGCAACTGTTTTCCTCAGCATCTCCGCACAATGTCCTTAGATGATAACAAGATTAGGGGACTGACCACTGCTGACTGTCTGTTGCTGCATCCTCTGACGACACTTACGATGTCTAGAAATAAGGTACGCTGTGTTTTTACCTCCGCCAAGGAGGTTATGTTTTTGACGGCGTTGGTTTGTTGGTTAGTTTGTTTGTTAGCAGCCTAGCTCAAAAAGTGCTGGCCGGATTTCATCGATTTTTTGGGTACAAGTCAGAAAGGGACTAACTTAGAACTGATTAAGTTTTGGTGACATTCCGAATTACCGTCTGGTTATTATTATTATTATCATTAATTAATCAATAAAGTACACAAATCTACGGTAAACGTGTACCACATTTCACTGACATTCCGAATTACCGTCTGGACGCAGCAGCGGTGTAAGTACATTATATACGCATACTTTTGTCTCTCTCTCTCTACCTCTCCCTCTCCCTAGCGATAATATTATTGTTGGTACACATGTGTCGGGGGTAATCTGCCCCCACCATTCCGTAGGGGCAGATTTGGTGTCAGTGTCAGAAATTAATTAAACAGAAACAAAAATTAACAAAGATAACAACCTACCCGTTAGTTAT